AAATAAAATTTAAATTTAACAAAGTTTCTTACGGGTGGAGAAAATAGCTTCGGAGATAGGTTAAGTTAGGTAAGCGCCTTTCGCTTCTAATAACAGAGTTTGTCAGGGTCCATAAAATCACCCTACATTATCTTTTGAATAAATTTGTGAGCCGCAATGCATAGGAACCCTCTGATGTCTTTGATGAGACACCGCAGAGGACGTCAAGCAGTCAAGCCGGCACGCGCCTCTCCCCTCCCCTCCCGCTTTCCCCACTCCCCGCGCCCCGGGCCGCCCACCGCGTAGGCCGGGCCGCGGGGCCGTGGGGCCGTGGGGCGTGGGGCCCACCCCTTGACGCCCTTCGGAGGGCCCTCCGGCCTCCGCCTCCCTGGCGCTCTGCCCCGGCTGCACGGCGTGACGTCACAGCCAATGGGGTGAAAGGCACCGCACTGCCCCCCACCCCCGCCCCTCCAGCTCATGCACTGTCTCAATCAAGCCGCGCGCGCCGCGCGGAAAAAAGATAAGAACTCCCACCAGGTGGGATTTGAGCCTGAACTCAGGTCACTAGTGGATAGGCACTCCTGCACGTCCTCTCCAAAAAATTAGAGCTTGATGAAAGAAAAGAGGAAATTGAGCGCTAGTGTTCACCCGCTTTTTCTTACAAAATGGATACCAAATTATGACACTCTTAGAGTCTCATGGCAACCTTGTCATTCTCAACCTTGGGGTCGCGACCCCAAGTGGGGTCTCGAAAAAATTTTGAGGGGTCGCAGCGAGGTAGCTGGGGTCGCCTGGGGTCGCCTGGGGTCGCAGCGGTTTCCCGGTTGGCCTACAGCTGCCGAGCACTGCCGCGAACATTAATTCGCGGAAACTGCTTAAAAAGTCGTGTTTTGGGCCGACTTTAAGCTGCCACTGCGTCCGATCCGAGGCGGGCCTTCGTACTTTCTCAACGGGCATTTCGTCTTTGGACCTTCCTTTAGCATGCCTTTGTTACGGAGTGCGATTATCCGCCTTAGTTTGGGTGCAGTATTGGCTCAAAGTTGAGCAAAACGGTCAAAAATGCCTTTGAAAAATCGTGTTTTGGGCCGACTTTAAGCAGCCACTGCGTCTGATCCGAGGCGGGCCTTCGTACTTTCTCAACGGGCATTTTGTCTTTGGACCTTCCTTTAGCATGCCTTTGTTACGGAGTGCGATTATCTGCCTTAGTTTGGGTGCAGTGTTTTCTCAAAGTTGATCAAAACCGACTTTAAAGGTATTTTTGACCGTTTTCATCAATTTTGAGCTAATACTGCTCCTAAACTAAGGCAGATAATCACTCTCCGTAACAAAGGCATGCTAAAGGAAGGTCCAAAGAGCAAATGCCCGTTGAAAAAGGACGAAGGCCCGCCTCAGATCAGACGCAGAGGATGCTTAAAGTAGGCCAAAAACACGATTTTTCCTGTGGGTCGCGGAAATATTTGGCTACAAATTTGGGGTCGCGAGCCGAAAAAGGTTGAGAACCGCTGATAGTGGCTCAAATCTAAGTTTCAAAGACCGGATTCTAATTTTCAATAGGCATTCGGACTAATTTAGGGCCTATGTCGCTGAGCAATTATTTCCCGAAGCATATGCTTTTCGTCGTCCGCCTGCGCCCCTCCCCCTCCCAAAAAATAAGAGCGCCTGTTTTGCCAAGCTTCGCCTCCGTAAGTAGGCAATAATTGATGAACATCCCTCGCCATTCCAATTCCTCTTCGATTACCCTCTCGTCGCAAGCGACTGTTCTTTTTTCCTTGTCCGTCAGCCCACCCGGTCCGGAGTCGTGGGCCCCTCCGGACCCCTCCCGCCGCCAGTTCCTGCCAAGTGTAATGGCGCCTTGGCCTGCCGCGTCCCCCCTCTCCGCCTCGCAGCCTCCCCACCACCTCCCCTCTCGCCTGCCGCTTTCCGCGCGGCGTGCGGCGGACCGCTGCCCTCCGTTCGTTTGCATGCCGAGGACCGGGTCGGCGAGCCTGGCGACAAGCACCTTTGGTCAACCTCGCCGCAGAGTGCCACCATACCATACACCATAAACTTGCAAGCCCAGCAAGGACGCAAAGGAATAATCACACCCTTCCGCCCGAACAACGTGAGCAAAAACGCACACATTGCTCCCGTCACAGGAGGCGCTGTGTTGGCTGACAACGACTTTGCTGGGCCGGCGATCGACCCCGCATCCACACTCATTTCTTTTGACTGTCAAACTCATGGGGGCAGTTTGGTGACGCGCAGAGGTGTCGACACTAGTCACGAATCCCCGCGGTTCGACTCCCAACATTTTTCGCTGCCTCACGGTGTAGTGTTCGAACCCGTCGCATCGCACGCTGTGATGGTCGGGTGGTGGTAAGTGCGCAGGCTCGGACTGGCCAGGGCAGACAGGCAGAAAAATCTGCCGGGGCCTTTGGATTTGTGACCAGTAACGTCACGAAGTGTGTCAAAAAGTGATTGAATCCCCGAAAGTAGCCGTTTTCGCTGAATTTGAGCGGCCACTGCTTCGATCTAGTAGCGGCCAACGGCCTCCCTCGACGTCCTAGTATTCTTAAGACCCTACTCTTTCATGCCCTGTATAGGGAAGACGTTGACCACAACGATTTTGCCTTTGACCGCAACGATTTAGGGGCCAAAGTTGGTCAAAAAGTGGTCGAATCTCGGAAATTTGCTGATTTTGCTGACTTTGGGCGGCCACTGTGTCCAATCTAGTTGCCGTAAAAGGCCCCCCTCAACGTCCTAGTATTCTCAAGACCCTACTCTTTCATGCCCTGTATAGGGAAGACGTTGACCACAACAATTTTGCCTTTGACCGCAACGATTTGGGACCAAAGTTGGTCAAAAAGTGGTCGAATCTCGGAAATTTGCTGATTTTGCTGACTTTGGACGGCCACTGTGTTTAATCTAGTTGCCGTAAAAGGCCCCCCTCAACGTCCTAGTATTCTCAAGACCCTACTCTTTCATGCCCTGTATAGGGAAGACGTTGACCACAACGATTTTGCCTTTGACCGCAATGATTTTCCGACCAAGTTGGTCAAAAAGTAGTCGAATATCGGAAATTTGCTGATTTTGCTGACTTTGGGTGTCCACTGTGTCCAATCTAGTTGCCGTAAAAGGCCTCCCTCGACGCCCTAGAATTCTTAAGACCCTAGTCTTTCATGTCCTGTACGGGAAGGCTATTGACCGCAACTTGTGTGGGAGCGGCAGCCTCACAAAGTTGGTCATGAAGGGTAAAAACAATGATGATCGGGGGCCTTTTGCGGTCTTATCTGCCGGGGCCTTTTGGGGGCCAGTCCGAGCCTGTAAGTGCGTCGCCGAGTGTAGGAGCGGAGTCCGGCGATCGCCCTCGAGTCCGGGGTTCGACTTCCAACATTTTTTAGCAGATGATTTTCGGTGGCGGCCACGACGACGCCATCTGGTAGAACTTGCAGTGTGGCCGACCGAGATGCGATTCGTCCATAATCCAAGTATCCCCTACTCTAGCCCGCTCTTTTTCCAACATGTCGCGCCGCGCCATCGCCACTTCCGGTCACGTCGGCAATTAAACATGACGCCTTGGCGGGCTGGCCGCTGGCCCCCGCCGGCCGGCCGCCTGTCCGCCTGTCGCGTCATGTCATGTCGAGGAGGCCGGCCCTCCTCCCCCACGCGACGCTGGTGCCCCCCTCCACGGAGGGCCGGCCTGGTTGGTCCACCACCCAGGCTCCGCCCCCTTCCCCCACCCGGGCTGGCCTTCCCCCACGCGGCGTCCCCGCCAGCGCGCGTGTCCTTCCCCCTCCCTGCACCTCGCGGGGCTGGCGGGGCTGGCGGGCCCTGCCCCACTCGACCTCACCCCCTCTCCTGGCATTCCCCCGGCCCGCCCCCTCCACGCCGCGGCTGGGCGCGCGCTTCGCCTCACCGCGCCGTCGCGTCCCGGCGCGCTGCAGCGCAGGCAAGGCAGCGCACTGTCGTGCGGTGGGGCCCGATTCGTCAGCGGCGAATTATGCGAAGTGCGTGTCACGCCATAGGCCATGCGCCAGCGGCAGCCAGGGGCAGTCTGTCATGGCATGGACTGCGGCCGGACTTGAGGTCGGCGGGGCGCGAGGGTCGCTGACCGCCCTCCTCGCTGGTGCACTGTCGGTGGGCACGCAGCGTTGCAGCCAGAGCAAGCGCCGCTGCAGGCTGGAGGAGCGGGGCGCCTGCAGAGAAGCTGGCGGCGGAGCGGCGGACACGTGCAGCGGATTCTCATCCGATCCAAACTTCCAACCCGCTGCCCCGTACTGAATGGCATTCCTCTCTCGGGTGGCCTGCCGGGCCGGCGCTCCGCGGGCAAGCCGGTTCCGCACTATAATCATGGCTGTTTCGTTCGCATGCATGCGCGAGGCGCTTCTTACAGGTGCGAGAGGGGAGAAAGAGACAGAGCGATGAGGACAGATGATGTTCAAAATGAGAGTGGCTTTTTATGTCCCCCCCCCCCCTCCCGGTCCGCCTCGCGAGGGAAGCCCCGTTTGAAGCGAAGCTACGCCTTGCTATTGACAGAGGCCGAATGCAAGCGGTCTGCAGTATGTTCGTCTGATTTTAGAGGAATGAAACAGCGCCTCCACCGACCAGGCGCGCTTGCCTTGATCGAGGGGGAATCTCGTCAACGCTGCCAATCTAGAATCAATCAATGATAGGATTCTATTTTAAAGGCTGCGGCTGCCGATGTGTCGGACAGTGTCCCTTTGTGTGGAGTCACTTTCTCCATCCTGCATTGTCGTGCCACCCCCACCCCCTGGAGGTCCGCGCGGTCTCTCTGGCGGTCCCTAGCGCACCCCATTCGTTCTGCCTTCCCGCCTCGCCCTCCTCCTCAATGTTCGCGGGCATGATGAGGGTGAGGGTCAAGTGGGGAAACGTCCCCGCTCGTGGGTGCAGACCTGCTTTCTCTTTTCGCCCTTTGGTTCCAGCTATTTCTTCATAGATTTTAATTTTGCATCAGCTTGTAGCGGAGGGGATACTTGGAAGTTCAGAACAAACCATAAAGGTTGAATGAATGATAAAAAAAGTTACTATTAAAGCGTTTATTTTTCTCCCACATGGAGACACCACACAGATCACAGACAAAGAAAATGATAACACAAAGAAGAATTTTTGTGTTTGTTAACCCTTTAAACTGAAAAGAATTGCTGTTTGTTCAAGTCAGATAACTGTACATAGTTGTTTTGAGCCATAAATTCTTCCCACATTTTTCATAAAACACAAAGGATTTTCTATACTTAAGATAAAATATTTACATGGTTTCGTAGCTATTATCCACATGAATACTAACTATATGTCGACCAGGTATCATGACCAATCCAAGAATACGAGCCTCCTCAGCTGAAATCAAAAGAAAACCACCGTTATTGTCATAGCTTAATTTCACAGTTGAAGGTTGACTATTCTCAAAGTACTAAATACTTTACTAGTTTTATCAGAACTCACAGGTACTATTAAGAAATTCTGCACAAGAACTAAGAATGATGTTTGAGTCTCGATCTGTGCATAGGAAGGCACCCACTAAAATCCGTCCATCAGACATTTCGATGCGAAGGTTCTTATTAAGCCAGCTGCGAAGCTGGATTTTTTCAGGGGTTTCAGTCACCTGCACCTACATGACATACAAGAAAATAAATAAGGATAAATGTGAATTGCAAAAAGGTTAAACAACTGGGTGGTAGACAGTTTACCTCCTCATTTTCACAGCTAACATTCAAGCTCTCTACAGGAGATGTCGTGAGCTCTTCAGTAAGGCTCATGATTACGTATTATTTGACAACCTCTTTACAAAACCAGGATGGGAAATAAGTTAGTAAAGAAAATTTGTGTTCGACCTAACCTACGATTATAAGCAATAATAGCAGACAGACGACAAAACAAATGAGCAGCAGCAGAAGCAGCAGTCTGTGCACAACCAAAAAATCAAAAACCCTTCTCTCGGTAAGACCTTTTCTATTTATTTCGTATTCCGGAGATCATCCAGGAAAAAAAAATTAAACCTATAAAGAATTTCCGGCTTAAAAAAAATGATCTCGGGGCGTGTGGAGCTGCTTGGTAGAACATATTATTTTTGGAGAATTATATCATTTGCCAACCGTCTGCTGTCAGCTGTCATCGGTGTTGTGCTAGTGAATGGACCTACATTTGTGGACGGGTTTGTGTACGATTCTCCGGTAAGTAATTTAATTTAAGCGGAACCCCATTGCTTCTGCCTTAATGAGATCGTTTTCCTTCATTTTTTCGGAGATCTGACTATGCTGTCCTTGTCTTAAACTCATTTTAAGATATGTCTGTGCGAACATAACCTTCAACTTCCATTTGCCAAGTAGTTTTGGTTATTGTTGACGCCCATTTCCCCATCTGGTACTCATGGTTTGTTTTGAAAAAAAAAAAAAAATTGTGTAAGATTTATTTTGACGCCAAATTCTTCAGTAACTTAACGCCAGAAGAAGTCGGCTCTAGTGCTGCAATAATTTCCTATAACCTTTTAAGTGGAGCACTTGCTTAGTGGTTACCTGGCACTGACTGAACTGTTATATCTATTAGCTCACTTCTATCTAACGCTAGTTTTGTCTTTTCTTGGTGTAGATATGGCTGAAAAGCCCTTCAAAGTGGGCCAAAAGGTCCTAGTACAGGACAGAGGCAACGGCACCATTGCATATGTTGGTTCAACATTATTTGCAGCAGGAAAGTGGTTTGGTGTAATACTTGAAGAAGCAAAAGGGAAAAATAATGGCACTGTGCAGGGCAAAGAGTATTTCAAGGTTTGTAATATTTCTTTTTAAAAGACGACACTCCTTCATTTAAGTCAAAGTTTGTATTTCTTCAACAATTCGAACTCCGGTCTGTGCTGTGTTCCAGTGTGGTGAAAATTTTGGAGCCTTTGTTCGACAAACTCAACTTCAACTTTTGGATGATTCTGGGAATCCCATTCCATCTGATTCTGCAAGATCAAGTCCAACACCTTCAGAGGATAAAAATCGTTCTCGTTTGAGCAAGTACGTATATCACATTTGTTTATGGAAAGCGCTGTAGCTGCTTATGGCTCTTCTCTTCCTGTCATAATTAACATACCTCTTTTTCCAATGTCCAACATTTATCATTTGTGTCTATTCTTATCATGCTTCTTGTATGGCTAGTGTCAGGAAAAAAAATGAACCAACTAGGTGAGTGGGAAGACTTCTTGGTTTAATCATTTGCATGTTAATGAAATTTGAGGATGCTCTCTTTCTCTCTCTTTCATATTTTCTCTGTTAAACTCGCGGCCTCATTCCATTTTGACTTAATGTAACCATGAATTTAATTGTGATAGTAGTTAAGTGCATGGTTGCTTTGATCTGTATGGGGATGGTCATGGTGATGGTTTCTTGTTTCATCTGTCTTACATTTTACTACACTCTGCTTGTCTCTCTCTCTCTCTCATTCTTCGGCTTTTACGGTACAAATGTACACTAAAGCAGTGTTCGGAGGAAATCCTCTCCAGCTCAAACTTCTCGAGCTGCAACTGAACCTAAAATTGAGAAGTTCAGGTAAGATTGAAATGAGGCTTCAAATCTGCTGCTCTAGGTGCAATCTTGTTTTTTATGGTAGCATGTCACTCTTTTGTACAGCTCTTGATCCCATTCTCTTTCCTGTGCATGATGAGCCTTTTTGAAGTTCAAGCATTTTTCTAATGTAGAGTTCCGCTACAGCTCCTTTAAAAAAAAGCACCTGTTCTTGCTTCTTATTTTATAAACAAAGAATGATTAATTTTGTCTTACATTTTTTGTGTTTCTGTTATTACAGTGTTTTCTAACTATTTTTCAGCTCTCGCTTATCACTTATTGGATCAAGGAGCCCTTCAGATTTGGGAACCAACTCACCTTCTCCTGCTCCACTTAAACTCACGACTCCTCGGCAGTCTACAGAAAATTTGAGTTCAAAAAGAGCTTCATTTGTTGAGGTAAGATTGGAGTTTTATATTAGGTTTAGGTAACTGACACTCAAATATTTGACATGTTAATATGTTAATTTTGAAAATTTCTACAACAAACTATGTAGTCATGTCCTATTAGGTCGTGTAATTTTTCTACCACCAATAGAGCATGTTAGCTTCTTTTATTTTTTCTTGTTTTTGTTGTTTTTTACCCAAGTACTTTTTTCTTATCTATTTTGTATATTTTTTAGACTTTAAATCAAAGTACTGTACTATTACTTAAGTATTTGCAGACCAAGCTGCTTAGTTCATTTGTGTAGTTCCACAAGTACTTTGATGATTATGCCTTCTTCAGCACAAATGTTGGTATATTGCCACAACCATGAAACTCAATATTAGACTTTGAAGTTATTAATGGTTAAGATTTTAAAGGAAGACAAGTTCTTTTGTCCTTAAAAAAAGGATTGAAAAAACGCAATGTGTTGTGATGCATTTTGATGCACCTCCCTATTTATGTTTTGTGTCTTTGTCTGTTTGTTTTCAATTGTGGTGATGGTGTGTGACATTTGCTCTTGTGATTTTCTGTTTTGTGATTTACCCTTACCCTTATTCATTTAGGGTCATAAATCAACATTTCAGCTCAATACACACAGGCGCATTCAAAATGTGTGAAGCTAAAGACATAGAGGAACCAGTGGAAAAGATGAAGAGATTTCAAGAAAACTAAGAGCATGTGACTGTTTGTCAGTCTTTTGTACTGTGTTATGTCGTGCATGCCTTTTTGTTGTGTTTTGTTACAGCCAGGGAAATCAACCCCTAAGCAGGGTTCAGGTATCCCTTCTTTAGCTGCAAGCAAGCCATCCAAGCTAGCTCCTCCATCAAACTTCAGGCAAAGCACCTCAGGGATGACAACCGCGAGTGGCTCTGCCTCTACCCCAAAACGACAGCAGAGTATTCCAGTCCCTCAAACTAGCCCAAGTGCAGACCAAGTAATTTCCCTGTTTTCATTTGTCTAACTCTGAGAGGTTCATTCATAAATTCATTCTTTTTTGTTGCCTAACATTGTAGCTCCCTCCCATTCTGTCTTTACTTCTTCTTTGCTGCTTGTGGCTGTGGATGTGTGTATTAACTTTCAGTGTCTGAAGCAAAGATAGAAACCACTGAAACTGATGAGTTGATTTTGTATTAGAAACACCTCTGCCATGTTACAATTTGTTAGTAAAGGCAGAGAATGTGTTAATTCACAATGAAAATAAAATGAAAAATCAATTGGTTTGAAAGAGGTAACATGAATATCACATGTCAGTGGGTTCTATTCTATTGCGGAAATGTGTGTGTTCTGTCTGCTGGCTGATCTTTTGGCCTCTTTGTTGGACTACCTCAAGCCCCCTGTTTGCTTTTTACCAAGTTTCTTCCTCTAGCAGAAGTCAGAGTGGTATGGTTTTCCTGGACCTTTTGTTTTCCTGTTCATTTTTGTCCCTACCTGTTTCCAATTTCATATTATTTTCATCCTATGAGAAAAGTCCCATTGCTGTCATAGTCTCTTCACATTTGCTGTACCAAAATTAGGACCTTTCTTATTGCAAAAGACCTTACACATTTCTGAATGAAACACATCTACACGCACACTCGCACGCACACACACACACATTTGACCCATAAGTATGAGTTTCATTTAAAAACAATGCAACTAACTCTTTTGCATGACTGTAGTAATCTACTCACATTGCTACTAACTGCATTGTTTTTATAGTATCCTGTAATAATTATGTGAAAGCATGACCCCTGGTCATTTGACAAGGTTGTTTATCCTACTTCAAGTTCATAAATCCATTTTGATTTGGATCAAACTTGTTCCAGCACTAGAGCTGCACAAGAGAATTTCTTGTTGTCCAAACTAGAATCATTATATACGTAGTATGTGGTGCTAATTAGGTTAACACTTTCGTGCAAGTTAAATTGTTCATCCATCTATCAACCGCTATTCTGTACAATAATTACAAAGTTATGTTAAGATTGAAGCTACCTCTGATAAAAGATCGGTTTTTATGATTCGGTGGACTAATGTTTGACTAACTTAATTAAGTTTCGGACCATGGTCTGTCACTACAACAATATAGCATTGTAGATGCTTTGCTGTCTTCATGTATTTCTTCTCCCCTTGAAACGTCGAAGTTTGTTCATCTATAAATATTATTACATATTATAATTTAATTCCTGATTTTATTTTAAGATAATTTTTATGCATGACTTGCAATAAGTATGTTTTAGTGCACGCTTTATTTTCTCAGACAAGTAAAAAATGTTTTACTGTAAATAACCAGATTTATTAATCCTGGTGCTGCTGCTTGCATCGCCGTTGAAAGTGTGGCGACTAATGTTATGATTCTTCTGCTACTTTTTGCATTTGATGAAGAGAACACTAGGACTTGCATCTGTTTTCAACAATTCAATAACCTCCTAGTATTTGGTTCTTTTGCACCTTTGTAGTGGGACATTAATTTTTAGAGCACAGTTGTATTTATTTGCACTCCAACCACTAACAGACAGGTAGTTTAAGATGGTTGACCGTTCAAGATATATATCACAATAGTTTAAATATTTTGCAAGGACATCTCAGTGTTGGGGTCAAAAGAATTTGAGTTCATTGGATTGATGTAGTTTGGGTTCCCTGGAGAAATGCTCCTTTATGTCTAGTTTCAGCTTTATGTGTTTATATATATTTTCCTCTTTCACTTGAATCAGCTTCCACCAGAGTGGACTGCATGTATTTCATGTTTAGTTTCATTTCAAGTTTCCATAGGGGTTAATTAAGTTTTTAATCATCAATAATGATAATATTAAAAGGCTTTGAAAGTAATTTTTTGTTCAGAAAAAATTGTCATTACAGTATTTTAATTTCTTGCCCTTCTGTTTTGAACAGACTGGCTTCGTTGAAACGCTTAAGCCACAGTTTACGCCTGGACTGGTTCTCGCATCTCCTGGGGCTGGTATGAACACCAGCGTCTTGTCATCACCTCAAGTAGCTCAAGGAGGTGGAGGTGGTGATGTGGGTGAACGTTTGAGCCACTTGCAAACCCAACAGGAAAATGATATGCTCAAGGCTCAAGTGAGAGATCTCACAGAGAAACTGGATACACTTAAAGGTTTGATTTTGTTACTGTACTTGATGTTTAATCTTGCCATACTCTCTTACATGCCATCTTTCTGTCTGTAGCAAAGCGCCTTCATGACAAGGAACTGTTGCGGGACTTTGAGAAAACCAAGCTTCAACTTGAAAGTATGCTGGAGTTTAAAAACCGCATCATGGAATCTCAGGCCAATTTACAGAGGGACTTGCATCGTGCTCGCCTAGAGACCAGGGAGGCTATTGAAGCCAAAGATGCACATGCAGAAGAAATGTCTGAACTTGCTGAGTCAATGGAGATGGCAACACTTGACAAAGAAATGGCTGAGGAGAAGGTTTGTTGTTTGCATGATTGTAATCAATTGTAATTTAACTGTAATGATTGTAATCTTAAAGGACACTCCCTTCAACTTGAATTTTTGTTTCAGGCGGAGACATTACAGGTTGAATTGGATCAGGCCAAAGAGAAAATTGAAGAACTTACAGTTGATCTAGAATTGCTAAAGGCGCAAATGTCTGAAACAGATGGCAGTTCAGGTTCGGGTGATTTATCATCTGCAACTGTTTTTAAAGTAAAGCAGCTAGAACAACAAAATGCCCGTCTTCATGAAACTATTGTCAGGTAAAATAAATTGCAGAATCTTTTAAGCTTTCTCCTTAAAAATGTTTAAAACCCATTCATTTTGTTCAGGTTTCGTGATTTGTCTGCACATGACAAGCATGAGTTCCAGAAATTGCAGAAGGATCTCGACCAACGCAAGTCTGAAAATGCTGAACTAAGTCGCACAAAGGAGAAATTAAGTTCTCGTGTGGAGGAACTGGAAGGACAAATTGCTGATTTGCAGGAACAGGTAAGGTGATCAATGACCAATGTTTAGTAAAGTAGGTCAAGTCAAAAAGCATTTGTTCATTCTTTGTTTTTTTGTTTTAATTTTAGGTGGATGCTGCTTTAGGTGCTGAAGAAATGGTGGAACAGTTGGCTGATAAGAAGATGAATCTTGAAGAGAAGGTTGCTGCTTTAGAAGAGGAGGTTGCAGAACTTGAGCAGTTAGTGGACATGAATGAACAACTGGGTGAAAGTGCTCGTGAGCTGGAGGTGGAGTTGCGGGAGGAGGCTGATCTTGCAAGAGCAGGCATGAGAGAGGTAAATATTCTCCTAAAGATACTGTAGATGATCGAAATTTCACCATCAGATAATAATAATAACTTGGTTATTATGTAGGCTCAACGAGATAAAGAAGCGGCTTTAGAAACACTGGCTGACCGTGAACAAACCATTAGCAAATTCAGAGAGGTTGTCCAGAAGCTTCAAGAACAGGCACAAGATCTCCAGGCACAGTTGGAGCGAGAATCTGCTCGACCTGTCAGCAAATTGCCTGAAATGCTAGACTTCAAGAAGATGTTTGCTGAATCTAAGGCTCATACACGCGCAATCGACTTGGAACTGCGTAGGATTGAAGTCCAAGAGTCTAACCAGCATGTCGAGTATCTCACTGGATTTATGCCGGATAGCTTTATGAATCGAGGAGGTATGTTGGACATCAATCATTTATTATTGTTATTATTAGTTAGTATTATTATTACTGCTGCTGCAAACATTTTTATTTACAAACGTATGTTGGTTCAAGGTGATCATGATGCTGTGCTTGTACTGCTCTTGGTACCTCGACTTTTGTGGAAGACGGAAGTTCTTTTAAATCAAGTGAAAGAAAAGTTCCCGAATGTTGAATCAATCGATCGGGCAAGTCTTCTTAGGGGTCACACTGTCGAGCAATATGCTTTCCGTTGCCGTCTTTCACACCTTCTTTTTAATGCCCAGGTCAGTCATTTAAAAAAACACTTTGATTGGTGACTCCCAAATAAAATACTGTAACAAGTTCTTTTCCTTTCAGTGTATTCTTCACCAGTTTGCACATGCTTTGAATTCATGCTCAGCTCCAACTTTACTGAAAGTTGCTGCTGCCTACCCTGATATGGCTGTTCAAGAGAAGGCCATTGATCATTTCTTGGAGTTGCTGCGCAAAGACCAAGTATGATAAATCAAGAATAAGACTTTACTCAACTATTGTAATAGGGGAAAAAAATTCTTATAATTTTCTACTTTTTGTTTCAGTTGGATGAGAATGTTGGACTAGAAGGTTTAGAACGTTGCATCAACTATTTTAGCACCATGTTCCCAATTCTTCTGGCTACTGAGGTGAAAGTTAATCAGAGTCAGCTTATTGCTGACATAGCAAAATCCCTCACAGCTGCTGCAGATTGCCTGCGAACTGATGCTTCAGCACTTGTAGCCATTACTAAAGTAAGATCTTCAAAGATGGAATCATTACATACACCTGATCCTAAGCTTCTGCTTGCAGCCAGTTATGTATGACGATTTTATGCTGAATTTCAGGCTGGTGATGGAGGTGACATGGCAGCTCTGGCCACACACTTGATAGCTGTGTCAGAAACTTTAGCTGCACAATTGAAGGCAGCCAGAAGGCGCATACCAACAGGACAACAAGAGGGAGCCATCTCCAATATGGGTTTGGAGACGGGCCTCGCGTCTGCTCTGCAAGACTGCTGTACCAACCATGCCACAAGGGTTACTCGTTTGATACGAGATGTTGTGCGCTCTGGCCTTGCCATAATTTCAAACATTGGTGGTAAGTTACAATCACACCAAATCTGAACCAATTTAAGTTTGGAAAAACTATTCCCTAACCAATTTCTGCAGATGCTGATGCTGGACTGTCAGAGACAAAGCTGAGGGAACTGGTAACTGCTGCAGCAAGCAAATGTCTTGAACAGGAAGAAGGTGGGCCTGGGCCTGTTGACAGCTTGCGCACTGCCTTAGAATTTATCAGCCAGCAAGTGGCATCGTTAGTGCAAGTCTTGCAGGATGGGGAGTATGAAGCAGGCATGCCTATCAAACCAGAAGAGAAGGTCTGTACCTTACTATGTTGTTAAATGCATTTAATTTAGTTGCAGATTTTTTTAACAAATGTTGCCTTGCAGCCTGTTCCACCAATTCAAATGCGTGCTAAGGCTGTCAGAACAGAGCTCGAAGAAACGAAATTACTTTCTCAGAAATTGGAAGCCAAGGAAGCTGACATTAAGGAATTGCGCCTTGCTCTGAAGGCGAAACAGGAAGAAATGAGTGAACTACAATTACGCAAAGATATGGCTGAGCGTAAGTTGGAGGTTGCAACCAAGGATGCAAATGTAGCCAATGAGAAATTAATGGTATGTTTACTCATGCGTGTAAATTCCTAATTTAAATATTGCTGTTTCCTTTTAATTCACCATGCTTAATTTGTGCACTATAGCGTAAATTGGAGGATGCTCAGGCCCTCTTCAAGAGAAAGGAAAAGGAATTTGAGGAGACTATGGATCATTTGCAAGCCGATATTGATTCACTGGAGACAGAAAGAGGCGAATTGAAAGACAAAGTCAAGAACTTTGCCAAGAAGGCTATTTTGGATACCAAGACAGGTCAGTTCAATAGCCTGGGAATGAATCATCAATATTTGTAAATGTAATTTCTTGGTAATTTTTTATAACTTTCCAAATTTGTTGAAATTATGTTGCAGCCGTTTCTTCCAGTCCAACTCACAGTCCTGTTTCTCCTGAGGCTGGACAAAACAGTACAATTCTTACTGATTCCCCTCTTCTAATGAATGAAATCCGCAATTTGCGACTTGCATTGCGTAATCAGCGTAATGAAAATGTCCGCCTTCAGAATCAACTTTGCAAGGAAAATTTGGAATCCTTGACCCCATTGCCTGTAAGTATCGTACACTTTTGAATAAATGTGTTGCCTTATCTTAATTCAAATTTAAAGAAGGGTATTCAAAGGAAATTTGTCTTTTTTGTTTGTCCATAGGTACCTAAAAGACTGGAAAATGGCTCTGAAGATAGAATCACAGATTCAATGAAGCGTCTTGATGACCTCTCAAGAAAAGCCTCCTCATTATTGAAAGTAAGTTTACTTTTGAAAGACACATGCCTTCCAAACTTAACAAGTTTCACCCGAGTAAAACTTGGTCTCTGTGTGTTTTAGGATGTCCATGAAGCATGGGTAATGCCCAAAGTTGTTGACATAACAAAGAAAACCAAGACCCAGGCACCATTATCAAACCAGCTGATTGAAGAGATGTCTAACCTCCATAAACTGAAATTGAGGACTCAACAATTGCAGGTAATTATTTTTCATGGATACTCCAATATTTTTTTTTTTTCATTAGCATCTACTAAATTGCATCTGTATCCTTCCAGGATTTAGTCCTTACTGAGGCTGTGAACAGAAGACCAGGCTGCAAAGCAGATGCTGATTTTGCTATCTTCCCCTCCAAAGAAATGTCTAAGGTTTGTGGACAAATGTCAATAATAAATCTATTGTAGTAGGACTCAGTCTTTACTAACATATCTTTTCTGGCCAGGCCCTGAAGGAAGAAGATTCCATTGAGATTGGTTGGGTGAAGATTCCATTTGATGGTCCGGTTCCCCCAAGTGAGCGCAATGTGACAGTTGTGCTTGATGATGCATCTCTGAATTTGCTTCAAAGAAAATTAGTTGGTTTAGCTTAAGTTAATGTAATTAATTTTGAGAGGCTATGAATTGTAAACCATGCATTGGGTGTTACATGGTACTCTATATAAATTTATTTAATTTTGTATGGCGTTTTCATTGTTCATACTGATTTTAACATTCAATCTCTGTTTCATCTTTATTATTTAACATATCTGTGATAAATTTCAAGGAACAGTTCTCATGTTGCTTCAACTAAGATTTGTTAGTCAAGTAAGAGACTTTTTTTAATTACTGTCCTGTAATATTGATTATCATGCGAGATATTTGTGAATGAGCATTTCAGCTTCTTTTATAAAAGTGTTACGGATGAAATTGTGAAATCATCGTTACCACTACTAATTTCTTATGAAAGTTCTGTTCTGTTGCGCTAAAGATGTTAAGTGTGCTTTGTACCCACATTGGAATTTTACAACAAGTTTAATAAATTTGTTACAATGTTCATCATTCAATAATTTATTCATCAAGGTTCAAGGGAAAGGATAGGTTGAAAAGAAAATAATCAGCGCTCTGGGAAAGAGGCAACACATCTGCGGATGGGGGAAATCGGGCCCGATGGCGGTGGTGGGTGCTGTGCACATGGAACGGGGCAGATTAGACACATGTTTTGTTTCTGTAGTGAGGGTGAGGCTCGTGAGGCTCTACCTGGACAGCTGCTCCCGCCATCATCGCCAGGTGTCGCGGCGGCGCTGACATCGCCCAGACGTGGTCCACCAGTTCGTGCTGGCTGTGGTCGGAGCACATCTCCACGTCGGTGCGGCACGGGCGGGCCAGACACAGAGACCCCCCTTGCGGCCCCTGCGGCATCGGCACCGCCTCGGAGGTCACGGGGGCCTCTCGGTACTCCGAGCTGTGCTCCCCCTCGTCCCCGGCAACTGTCCCCCAGGCCTCGTCCATGTCGAGGAGGACAAGGTGCCCGCCGTGGCCGCGGCCGAGGCGGGTGGTGTCGATGTGGCGAGCCACTCACAAATGCCAAGAATGGCGCTGTGCGTCGGCAGTGGCAAGGCAACAGTGATAGATAAAACTGCCATTTGTTGCAACAAATGGGTTCAGTAGTTAGGTCGGGCGTGTAAGGTGGCAGAGTTACTCTAAGTAGAGAGCCATTTCATTTATTGACTTCAACCAAAGTTGAGGATGTAAGGCTGGCGTCCAAACAGCGCCAAACCGAGGGGCACGTATGTCTGCGTCCACTGGAAACGATTTTCGGGAGTTAAATATTGACACGACGTGACTCACGTCAACCCTGGTGGCAAAGCACACCTACCCCAGTGAGGTTTACGATAGAGTTGGCTGGGATGTTAACCAGGTAGCGCCTGTACCTCTGGAATCAGAGAAAATTGCGAGGGAAGTCCAAGTCCGGCCTGGCGGCAATACTCCACGCAACGCGAGGCGCACTATGCGCGGAGTATTGACCCAGTCACCGGTACGGCAGGTGGATGCAGAGGCCTTACTTGCACTGTGTCGGACTGGGGCTCCCACCCGTGGGGCGTCGGCAGGAGGGCGAGCACCACCAGGGCCAGGGCGCCGAGGGCGAGCCACTGCACAGCCCGGAACCTGAGGGTGTCCATCGTGGGGAACAGGGTGAATGCGATAGCGAGCTGTGTCTGCGCAGCGTGGCTGTTGGCCTACGTCGAATTTTGGCCACGGAAACAGGCGTTGAGAGTCGTGCGAAGTTGATTCGCCCTCGACGCATGTTGTTTGAACAGGTGTATGACCTCATCCCTTGGTTAGCTCAGGTGGCGAACCACGAGTACGTGATTCCGCCAACGTACACGTGAGGAATGCATGCCACCACGTGGCATATTTCTAAAACCACACAATATTACCACAGCTAAAGATATGTACATGGTACTCCTAGGAGAGAGCTCGAATCCTAGCGCGTCAGGTTACTTCCATAGTCAGCCGCATATCCTGTAGGGGCGCCACCCGCAGCCCGAATCACACCGGAAACAACAGTCAACAGTCGGTCAACAAACAACAACAAGATAACAACAACCGCGCGACGCGAGCAACACCACGTGAAGAGAAAAAAAGACGCAGACCTGCTTTTATAGTTCTGTCTCTTGATTTCTAAAGCTTTCATCATGTATCTTATGTACTACTTAAACGAGAAAAACGAGAGAGTGTATACTTTCAAGGTATGAAAAGTACACAAATCCCCGGTGCCTGTTCTCTTAACGTGGTCCACTGTTTTCGGCTTTCTTTTCATCGGTTTTTCCGTTACATTCCTTTTACGTAGACGATCTGTTTTTCTTCAATATTATTTACATTTTATGAGCACATTTATGCTTGTGCTGTGATCTTGAATGGCTTTTGTCTGTACCGAAACCGCGTGTTTTTATTAGGTTAGGTGTAATCAGTGTCAGACGACTTTAAAAAACTGAGTTCTACTGTTTTTCTCTCGCTCCATCTCATTGGTTTAATTAATTTGCTTTGGTGTTGTGTTGCAGTCTACTGACCCCAATGGAAAGCCCACCCTTTCGGCACACCCAGGTTTGTTACCTTTCCTTCCCGTGTGAACAACCATATAATGCACATTATGGTGTTCGCCGAAAGTTCTTCAAATGTTGCCTTTCTTGTTCCAGCTCGGTTCTCCCCTGAAGACAAATACTCCCGTCAAAGGATAACCATCAAAAGAAGATTCGGGCTGCTACCAACTCAGCAGCCTGCTCCTGTCTACTGATGTACTTATAATTTATCCTAAGAGTATTACCATTTGTTCATACCTTTTTTTTTGTCCCTCTGAGTAATTTGTTTTTGTTATTTTTCTGACTGAGCAATGCCTGCTTGTGCAAATTAAGCAATTTTTTTTTTCTATACTAAATAAAAGAGATGTATTTGTAAATGTGTCATTTTCTTTCATGAGAAAGACTTCCATGTCATATCTTGTAAGGCTGCAAATGAATCAAAATAAGTTCAAAAAACAAATGTCTATTAAAAGATACATTCATAAAATACAACAACATATGGGAACATTAACACGGCATGCAGCAGGGCGAGTTATCTTCTCCGACGTGCATCTCTGACTCTTCTTTGTGTAGTTGAGGCACCAGCGCCAATACTAAACAAACCTGCAAAAAATTAAAAAAAAAAATGAAACTGTATGCATGATTACTTCAATAAAAAACACCAGCAAATCACAATCAAGAACTAGTCCTACCAGGGGCTTGAGTAGCTTGAGCAGAATTGGGAACAGCAGTCACTGTGGCATTGAAGCTGAATCCTGAAGAGGCTTGGTCTTGCTTCTGTCCGAATGAGAATGCCCCATTGGTGTTTCCTGATGAACCTCCACCAAATGCGAAAGCACTACCAGAATTTCCATTGCTGGTAGAAGAATTTGAGGCGAATGAAAAGGAGCTGCTCCCTGTGCTGCCGAAGCTTGGCGTTGACCCAAAGCCATTGGTCTTGGACTCCGAAATGGATCCAAAGGATGGCAATGCAGATGGCGTATTGGATGCAGGTGCTCCAAATGCTGAGGAGGAGGGACCTGAGCCAAATGAGGAGTTGGGCGTTCCTGAACCAAAGGTAGGTCCAGACGAACCAAATGAAAAGGCCCCCTTGGAGTCAGCAGACCCATTAGTACTTTGGTTGGCAGATGTGCTGAACGAAAAGGCCCCTTTATTGTCAGAAGGTCCGTTGGTGCTTGCATTTGAAGAGGCACCAAAAGAAAATGAGCTTTTATTGTCAGCTGGTCTACTCATGCTTGGATTTGAAGAGCCAAATGAAAATGCGCTCTTGTTGTCAGTTGATCCATTGGTGCTTGAATTAGTTGAGGCACCAAAAGAAAAGGCACCCTTATTATTAGTGGGTGAACTGAAGGAAAACGCACTCTTATTCTCATTTGGTCCATTTGTGTTCTGATTGGCAGGCGAGCCAAAGGCAAAGGCAGGCTAAATTTTTGAGGGAGGGAAAAAAAAACTTCAGTAAAAATAAACATATTGAGAACACTTCATTTTACACAGACTATTTCTACATACCTTGGTTTGTTGAGGGGCAGCTTGTCCAAACGCTGAAGTAGGGCTCTGCACTGTTGAACCAAAAGCAGGCCTAGATAAATCAGTTGGTTTGCTAACACTTGACCCAAAGCCAAACGCTGGTTTAGCTTGATCGGATGAGTTGACTGAACTGAACTGGAAAGCAGAGTTTGCAGGTGCAGTTGCAGCGGGACCATTGCTCCCACCTCCAAATTGGAATGTGGGTTTGGCAGGTGTTGTCAGACTATTACTGCTACCAAAGGATGGGGTTGATTTGGTGACTTCCAAAGAGCTGGTGTTATTTGATCCGAACTGCAAATTTGGCTTGGAGGCACCAGAGCTGGATCCAAATGAGAAGTTTGGTTTCTGAGCATCTGAAGAACCATTATTGCTTGGTTTGCTTGAGGTAAACTGAAAGGCTGACTTTGGAGCTTCAGAAGGAGGGCCTTGATTTGTTGAAGATGATCCAAACTGGAATGAGGCGCTTGGTGCTGCAGGCAGTCCACTAGCACCGCCAAGTTGAAATGCTGGTGTGGGGGATGTAGTGGCACTAGATCCGAATTGAAAGGCTGATTTTGTAGCTTGAGCAGATGCATTAGTGCCAATTCCAGTGGACCCCTGCTGAACTGTTGTAGATGTAGAAGTATTATTTGCAAGACTTGATCCAAATTGGAATGCTGGTTTAGATGTTTCAGAAAGGCCCTGTCCGAGTTGAAAGGCTGTTGTGGGCACCCCTGAGGACATACCAGCACTTGAACCAAAGGAGAAGGTAGGTTTGGCTGGTGTGGCAGGGTCACTACCAGTTGATTTGACAGCACTGGCACTTGTGTCAAGTTGGAAAGCTGGCTTTGGATCCCCAGAAGACCCAAATGAAACTATTGGTTTAGCGGCAGTTGAGCTTGCACCAAATGTCGGCACCGGAGTGGCGGCAAGATTTGATGTCCCTGATGCAAACTTGAAAGCTGAATTTGTTAATGATGGTGGTGCAACTGTGCTCAAAGGAGAAGCTGCTTGAGAGGCTTGGGTACTTGACCCAAACTGGAACGTTGGTTTGGTAGCAGCTGTACCAATTATGGCTGTTCCCATTTGTAGGGTTTCACTACTTGTTGTGGAAGCCTTGATGCTGAACACATTAGATGATGGAGTCACATCCTTGGGCACACTGGAAGTTGTGGTGCCTAGTCCAATACCAGTAGAAGCTGCATTAAAAATTAGAAATTATAGAATAAAATTAAAACCAATTTTAATAAGAAGTACTGATATTTATGAGACAGGCAAAGGTACCTACCCGTTGGCTGGGCAGGGCTAGAGGAGGTGAACAGGGGTGTTGACAAGGACACCACTTGCCCTTGAACAAGCGATTGGGAGGTCACCTGTGTTGCTGGTGGAACAATAGAGGATGGAGGAGGTGCTTTCACTGCAGTTTCCACAGACTCAAGGGAGACAGCTGGTTGAGAGATTGGAAGCAGGGCTGTTGAGGACAAGGAGGCAGAAACTAGTGGGCGAGGGGAGCTGCCACTTTCAGATGAAGGAATACCATTCACCTATAGAGAAGAGAAAAGCTGTATTAGTTTACCAGAATAATAATCAGGATAGGCAAAAGAAAAGATAAGACACAAACGGTTGGCAGTTCAAGTTAAAGAGGAGTGCTATGCTACTCACTGAGGTGACGGTAGCCGAAGTCATTATGGTGCATGTGGAGGAAACAGTCACAGTAAGAGCTGAAGATCCTGAAGACAGACCTCCTGACGGAGAAAATTGTTTAGGGCCTGTGCTTACAGGTAGAGTAGCAACAGCAGCGCCTGTAGAAGTAGCTGTGAGAGGAGTTTTATTTTCTTGTCTGTTATCTGGAATGATAAATGAAGGTAATGTTACAGATGAAAGTAGTAATAACTTGCTTCAATTAAAAACTAGAACTGACCTTTGCCACTGACACGAGCCAATAAGCTTTTCAATCGTTCAGGCCTATGCAGTTTAGAATCATCATTGAGGAAGGAGTTTAATTCATCTGCCTCTGATGGTTGAACCCACAAGCTCTGTTTTGGGGTCTTTGAAGATGGAGTTCTTGGTGTATGCGAGGAAACTTCCTTACGAAAAAGTTTAGTAGTATAATCTGGAGCTGCATTATCCTGGGACTTTTCTTGTGAAACAGTGGTAGTCTCCTTCACTTGGAAACTGACTCTCTTTAAAATTCCCTTGGAGGAGACAGGCGTACCATCTGCCTGATGTGTCTCTCCTGAAAACTTCTCCTGCGGTGGTAGATTATCCTGAAGAAAGCGAAGGTCATTAATTGGATCCTATGGAACAAGACTACTGAATGTGTAGGGACCATTTCAATGCACTAACCAAGTTACATTGTGTCGATTTGGCATTTGAAGCAGTTTTCCTGTCCTTCACTTGCTTTGCACTCAGGGGAGTTAGTGGACTACTAGATCTTGAGCTGTCAACTGAACAAAAACAACAAAAGACAAATGTATGAGCATAACCAGACAAATAATGATTTATAAAGATAACTATTGGAAAAAGCTGAATTGAAGCACAAACCTGACTTCCTCTTCTGAGCAGTTATACGTTCCAACAAATTTCTACTAGAGCTAAGAGAACTGAAGATAGCATTATTTGTATTACACACTTTACGTCGCTGACGTTTCTGTTCCTCGGGAGACCCCTTCTCACGAGCTCTCTTGCCCCTACAGGAGAAAAATATATAAACTTAAGAGTTTCTCTACTTGAAACATGTTCAGAAACTAGCATGCTAGGAAGATGTTACTTACTGAGAAGAAATGTCTGGCTGGGGGGGTCTTGAAGGGACTGCAGGAGCCCGTACATGCCTATAATGGTATGTGTCGTCATTGGGATTGGGGATAGGTAACTCAGCCTTCCTTCTGCGCTTTTTTGACTCATCCTAATTTAAAGAAACAAACCAAACAAAATGCCAACCATTTTTTAAACACAATATTTATGGGTACTGGATCATAATTCTAGATGAGCTCCATCAAGCCAATGCTGTACTTCATAAAACTAAACAACTTACGGAGACATCTTGACACTCTGAAAAGATTCGTTTTCGAGAAGCTTCCTGTAAATTTTCTATCACAGAGCAGCTGTGATCATTCTTTCTTGAAGAACTCCCATTAGTTGATTTTTGAAGGCTTGATGATGGAGATAGCTTAGGTGTATCATTTTTCTCTTTGATAGATTCTGGAGGTGTACAAACAGAATTTTGCCTAAGAGAAAATCAGAAGAAGGTTTGTTGAAATAAATTATTTAACAGGGTTGCTTAAATTAAAAGCCTCAATTTCCTATAAAGGAACAAACTTTACCTGCGGCTAATGAGAGACGGTGGAGCAATTCTCACTCTAACCGGCGTCCTGACCTTTTGACTGTTATGTGGAGATAGTGTAGGGAGAATTGACTGTCCTAATTGCACTCTTGGGAAAAGACCAACAGAAGAGTATTTACTCTGATGGGTGGCACTGTTCTCACGGTACGAGGAAGAGCTACTTCCATTGGTGGCACAATTAACAACTCGACTAGTAAATCCTGGGCTATTCACGTTTGCGTAAGTCCTGGAAGAAAAAAAGATACAAACTGAGAATTTGTACATTTAACAACATGAATAAATGTGTAGATAGAAGCATGATGAATAATAATTCAATAATAATTAGGATATTTGTGCAAAATAATCAGTTCAGATCATAAGTTGTGGAAAACCTTAAGTATTGCAACACAAAAATTAATATAAGGTGAGAATTATATGCCTGATTTGGTTCTAAAAAGAACAATAATCACTTATGAACTGTAGATTGAAATTTCAAATGAACCATAGATCAGAGAAGCAGACTAGAATTTTAATACACATTTAAAGGACAAAGGGCATAAACCTTGAGAGTCATTCAAATGAAAGTTGTGAATCGAAAGAAAAATAACAATAAAAGAAAAGCTTTGGATATTGAAAATTTCATTCTGGATACTTACGATGCGTCAAGAACGGTATTAAATCTGGAAGAAGAGAGTAATGGTCCAGCAATAGTTTGAACTGTTGATCTAGAAGCAGCTCCACCAGTTCCAGGAGAGTTAATGTTGGGAGACGATGGTGTTTTAGGTGAGCCCGCGGGTGTTGCTGGCTTCTTGTTTGAGCTCTTTTTACCGAAGTTAAGAAACATTGTTGCAGCTTAAGTTTCCAGGATATCCTTGCACAAACAATCTTAAACAAATCTTCGTATCAGCGGGACTTAACCTATCTACCGGCTGCTTCTTCTCTTCCACGCTCGCGCCGTCACAACCACCAACATTCAAATTTGTTTGGGGATTTCCGGTAGATCTGCCACTATATCTATTGCAATATTGGCTTGACACGAATGCACTTATCAAAACAAAAGGCTTCGTAGATGACATTTCAGACATACAGAAACCTATAGTGCTGAGGCATGTTATGGGAAAGCGGGTAAAATTACGGCTCAAGAGCGGGGACTTAGTCGGCGTTGTGGTGGCACGGATGACGACAGTCGCGGGTTGTGGGGGTTGCATACTGCCGTTAGCTGGTGTTGCAATTCCCCATGATTTTAGTCGTAATTGTTGTGCAAATTGATTATTTTTTGTAATTTAACTATGGGGTCTCAGAAGCCCGACGCACAGAGCTCCCCGTCCACCAAAAGCAATCCCAAACCGTACGGAAATGTGTTGCTTACGCTCAAGAATTGTTTGTTGCCTGAAGAGAGGCTGTCCCCGACGCCATCCCAATTAGATGGTTTAGATAGAGAAACTGAAACAGATCTTAGGATTTTAGGATGTGAACTCATTCAAACTGCCGGAATTTTGCTCAGGCTACCTCAGGTAAGAATGGAATCCATTACTCTCTCTTATGCTTGCGCTGGTCTTGTCTTTCTGGACGTCCCACAATGGCGCCCCAACGATAGTCCAACGTATTGGTGCGTCAGCGTCATTAACTCGCTTCTGCACCCCCTTCACTCTTAGGGGCAGAATAGCTTTTGATACATTCACCCGTGGGTTTGCCTCATCGCTCTCAGCACTGTCACAAGTCTGGCGAATTGTGGAAAATTTTAACTTTTAGTCTGCATGCAGTACAGGTTATGATCCCAGAGCTTGACCATGCTGTACAGTGTGGGTTGGCTGGTTAAATTTTTATGTGATTGCCTAGATTCAATAAATTTTAGAGACATTCAGTTTTTTTTTTTTTTTTTTTTATCAAATTTTAGTGATTGGCTTGTCACTGTTACATCTTGTTCCAGTAATAAGACGTTAATTTTTGAAGCTTCCATTTATGTCAGAAAAGATTTGATAAAATTAAACATGTTTAAAATGATGGTTTGATCTGAACTTAATGGTTGCTTTGTTTTCAGCGATGGCTTCAGCAATAAATACATTTTGCTATGTTGTCAAATAACCCTTTTTTGTGACAAATTATGTTAACAGGTAGCAATGGCCACAGGGCAAGTGATCTTTCAAAGATTTTATTATTCAAAGTCATTTGTCCGACATGGAATGGAAACCACGGCCATGGGCTGTGTTTGTCTTGCCTCTAAAATTGAAGAGGCTCCTCGAAGGATAAGAGATGTCATCAACGTGTTCCACCACATCAAACAAGTTAAAAGCCAGAAGTAAGTATTTGTTTAGTTTATCATGGAGGCTTTGTCCCAGAACATGACAAAAGATTTTATCTTATCATTGGTTTCTTAAGAAAAATTTAATTCTTCAATTTTTATTGTTTGTGAAAAACTTTGTAGTTCAGACCAATTGTTTCACAAGTAAACAGTGTCTTATAAATTTGTTCGAAGTTTTTTTTGTCTTACTTTAATGTTTAGAGCCATGTTCAGGGGCTTGTCCTCCTCTTTTGTTGTGAATAGATTATTCCTACAATCTATCTGGCAGAGCCAGTCTTTTCTTATTATGTGCTGCCAATGTTATTTTGGTTAATGTAAAAACGTTTTATAGCAAGTATGCCTTCGGTGAGTTCTCAAAACTTCTAATCTCATAACAGATTCATTCTCTTGATTAGTGTTACCATAGTTGTCTATGCCACCAACTATTTTCACATTAAGCTCTAGCCTTGCAGTATTCTTTATTTTAAAAGCAGTCTTTGCATTTCAAGCATTTATGAATTAGAAGTGTGTATATATAGAGGGAAAGAGGGATTTCAATCAACGAAATTTTTTGAACACAATTTTTGATTGGTTTGTACATTTAGATCTACGCTAAGTAGATTTGCATTTCATCAAAATAATTTAGTAGTTGGCAACCAAGATCACTGGAAATTGTTCTGTGTCTAATGGATGGCTTCAATCTTTACATTTTGGGGTAAAGAATATCAGCTCTCTACATTGTTTTCTTTTTTTTTTCTCTTGAATGCCATGTGATTGAGTCTGCTCATTCTCATGGGTGACAATTTCAACTTGCAAGCTTCTTCTGGGGTCACACTATTTTCTTCATGTTCCTTTGATTAATAATTACAACAAATGGGCTCAGTGGTTGCCCTTTTCATATCAAATTTAATATCTCCTTACATTTTCTGCCTTGGAACATGGATCAAATAGGGAATGGGTGGTCCCATGTTTGAATTTTGAAACATTTTATGGAAATATGTTTACCACTTTAAAGCTGATACTGTACTTTTGAACCTGTGCTCAAAGACTTTGTTTGTTACTTCCTTTCCCACAGATGAGGACTGGGACATACAGGGTGAGTGGCGGCAAGCCAGTCGAACGCCTGAACAGCCCGACCATCCAGCTAGATGGTTTGGTTCGGTGCATTGGTTTGGTGCAATGGCGTCCCTACCTTCCAGTATCACCCCGGCTCAGCCCGGTCTTCACAAACTGCAAGCAGCAACCATGATTTATTTTTTCCTTCAGTATTCTTTCAGGCTGTAATTTCTGCTTATCAACTGTTCATATTTCTTTGAGAAATTGAAGTTAGACTTTATTCTGGCTTTGGTAAGGTCCATTGTTGCAATGTTATATCTTTTAAATGAACTAACTTATTACAATTAAAAGATGTGATCATGTGCCTATTTGTATAATGATGTTATTAGAGGCTGTCTTGTTGTAGCTGTTATTTGTACTTTTTTATGAAACTTTTTTGTCATTTACAAACGATTAATGAATTGAATGGAATGTTATCATAAGTTACAATATTTACAATTAATGTTAGTCAGTGTGTGTATTTAGAGAAGGGACAGAGCCCAGATATTCTGGTTGGTTGTGGAATTTGCACAAATGCACCACACCTTTTTTTAAAAGTGACTGTAGAGGCAGAATTCCAGGCACAGATGGGGTGGTGGGTTCTTGAAGGAAGTGGAGCTGCTTGAATTGTGGGCAAAGAAATGCACTTTGCTTCTGTAACTTGTATGACATTCTCCCCTCCCCTCCCCCCCCCCAAAAAAAAAGTCTGTTTCTGGAAGCGCGCCTGCAGAATTCATGCTCTGCTACTCATGCTCCTTGCCTTTCCAAGACATCTATTTTGCAATTTTGTGTGTGCCAATCATCATGTTACCTGTCATTTAGGATATTGTATTATTATCTGAAGAGCCTATTGCTATTTGACTAGAACTGCACAAGGGGATTCAGTTCAGCTGTTTATTTTCATAACCATTCTTTCCTATCATGTCCACATCGTTACCCCCTGTACCCTCTGACCTGCAAGGAGCTATGTGTGGCAGCTCTGCATAATTTCTCTGCTGAGCTGAATCACCTGGCATTTTTTAAATGTATTGTCTAGTGCTTTTTCTTGCTCAGACAGCTGCTGTTTTATTTTAATATATAGTCACATATTTTAGAGACAGTTTCTGGACCGAATCTATTTAAACTATGGCTATTGTTATAGTGACAAGATTGTATTTACTTTATTCAAATAAGTATTGTAACTCTTGTTGATAACTCATGTTGACATAGGTCTTGATGTCCCATTTATTTTTTCATATCTGTTTTTGTTGACCTAGAAGTTCTTTGCTTCATGTGGTAAGTACATAGCCCAGTTGTGAAGCTTTGTCTAGTCACTTCTGTACTGTGCTAATTTTCTCAAGATGTGCATTGCTTTCAAAGAAGGTAACTCATCTAAAGGACATAAACAGGAATGGCTGAACTTTTCAAAACTGATGGATGTGTCTGTGAGTAAGCTACATCTCTGTTAAAAGCATTTTGTGTCTGCAGTCTTAATGAATGAATGTTGAATTTTCTTGGTTATATTGACTGCATTTTTGTGCCATAGCACTGCAGACCTCTACCTTCTCCTGTGTGGAGCTTGTCTGCAGTGGACCAACTTGGATTCATCACTTCATCCTCTAAGAAGCTCATTTTCATCTTTTGATGGTGGTGAAGTCGCTGTTACTGCATGGAGGACACACTGCATGGGGCATCTACACTTGCCCAACTAAGCTGAATGCCCAGGACTTCTGACTCACTAAGCTCAGTGGGCATTACCAAGGTTCATCACATCTTTATAACAGCATAAGAAGAAGTTAAAGATGTGTGTGTTTACCTATGTTTAACCTCACTTTGGAGTTCCAGACTGACACCATCTAGCAGAATTGATATGAGGGTATGACAGTGAGGAGGAGTATATCATCGGCTGCCTGAACTCATCGCTATTGTTGCATCTGTAGTCATAATGAGTCACAAAAGTGGTATGAACTCATTGGTAGTTAATGCTTGTTATATAAAGTCTGCAAGAAATGTCCTTATCAGTGTAAAGTACTTTTGAACCTTGATGTATTCATTAGCCATGATTTATTGTGTTATAATTTGAAAATTGTATCTGACTGTTCTATATTTAGTGAATGTGAGTGTGTGTGTGTGTGCACTGGAAAAGGCCAAGGAGCATTGTAGGCTTAAGCAAAACGGAATATTCAAATTATTTTAATTGCCCTTCAAAGAGAGAATATACATCTGAGGTGAAATCAATCATGGTTGTTGCAGTCCTGTGGGGTTTAGGAAGTTGCATTCAAAAGCTTGCTATGAAAGTGACAGAATATTGATTCTGTCTATAGGTAGGGTTGATGCTAATGTGCATTTGCACACCTTTGTGTGATTTGTGTTGCTGCAGGACCATCACTCCCGTGATCATTGACCAGGCTTATTCTGTTCTGAAGACGCAAGTCATCAAAGCTGAGCGTAGAGTTCTCAAAGAACTTGGGTTCTGTGTGCATGTCAAACATCCTCACAAGGTACATTAGCACCTCATTACCTCAGTACAGCTGTGGTTTTCAAGCTACTATTTACCTCTTGGTTTTTTTTTCCTTGAACAGATTATTGTGATGTATTTGCAAGTTTTGAACTATGAAAAACATCAGTCATTCATGCAATTGGCTTGGTGAGTAACCCTCATAAAAGTCACTTTCATGGACCCTTTTCTTTCGTGACATGTGTTGATCCAGAATCTCGTTTTTCAGGAATTACATGAACGATTCCTTAAGAACAGATGTCTTTTTGCGGTACCATCCTGAAACTGTTGCCTCTGCCTGTATCTATCTTACTGCGAGAAAATTGAAGATTGCTTTACCAAAAAGCCCTGCTTGGTGGTCAGTCTTTGATGTGTCGGAAAGGGATATTAAGGATGTCTGTTTCCGCATTCTTCGGTTATATGAAAGACCCAAGGTAAGGGATTATTTATTATCTATTTTATATGAAAATTTTTTAGTTTCACTCATATAATGAATATTGTTTCAGCCTAATGCTGATGAACTAGACAAGCGTGTTGAAATATTGAAGAAGCAGTATGAAGATTCTAGACTAAAAGCCCGACAAGCTCTACCAACTAATAACAGCAATAACAACAATCAAAATAGTGTAACTGGCTCAGACCCAAATACACCTCATGGAAGTCAAAGTCCTTCACCTGATAATCTTAGTCAGTCACATACAAGGTCACGGCCAAGTTCACCAGTGAAGGGCAAAGAAGATAAGCATCATCGATCAAGTGGCTGGTCTGTGAATACTGGGTACGTTGCGTTTTCTTGGACAGGCCTCTCTCATTACTCCGGCCTGCTTCATACCCATGTGCCATGCCTGGATTTTCTCTACATACCCATGTAAAATTTCTTACATTTTCTTTATTTCTATTTTGGCAGTCGGAACCATCACAACAACAAACACAGGAACAGTAGAAGTAGGAGTCGTTCCTCTTCTAGGAGCCCAAAGAGGAATAAGAGGTCGAAGAAGACCAGGAAGTCACGTTCACCCACTCCTCGCTCGAGATCAAGATCACGTTCGCGTACAAGGTCAAGGTCACAGTCCAGAGACAAGCGTAGTAAAAAGACACACAGAAAATCAAGAAGAAATAGTTACTCAAGATCTCCATCACCGTCACCCCGGGGGAAAAGGTAATAAAATTCATTGTGATAATTGTCTGCATTTATCACTTTTACCCTGTGATGAGTGAATACTAATCAAAATGTTTGTTTCTTTCCTATTTAAGGGAGAAGAGGTACAAGTCAAGATCTCGTAGTTATGAAAAGTCACGTTTGCGTGTCTCATAAGTCTGTTAATTTTCAATTTCCAAAGGGTTCAATTCCTTTGTACATGGTGATACAAAGCAAGATATATTTTCTTCTGAGATAACATTTTTCTGAAATTTACAATTCATATATTGTCATTTACCTAGTGAGTCTAATGGCTGGAAAGAATCAATGAAATCTTTTTAGGCAATTTAAGCTGTGAATCCGTATAGGAAGTATTTGGTTCTCTTTTTAATTTTGTGTTTCAGACCTTGTTAATTTAACTAGACCTCAACAGATAACAGGCTAAAGATTGGTTTTGCTTAATAATTCTAGCAGAGTTGTACATTAATACTAATGATATGATGTGCCATCACTGTTGTGAAATTTAATGTTCGACCAATCTATGCTAATTGCAGTTTTTTGTTGTTTTACAAATATCAATTTTCTTCCAAGGAATGACAACCTTTGTCAGTTTCGTTGTCCTTATCTTGTTGTATTGTACATGTGACATGTCTTGCCTTGTATCAATGAATCCTCACACATTGGAGATATTGTACCTGATTCTGTGATGCATTTTCACCAGCTCTTGCATATTCTCAGAAGCTTAGTCAAGAAGTGTAAATTTGATCAATGTGTTTCCATTTTATTTCCCTCGTATTTTTTTGACGATATACTTACTCAAATAGTAAAGGAACTATTTTCTACAGAGCAGTATTCAATTTGAAGTGATTATTCTTGGACTTTGTTGACGATTGGTGGGTTAAATAGTCTTCTTGCAAAGAAATTTTTGTTAAAACTTAAACACAAAATAATATTACCATTGCAATTGGTTAAACTGCCCTATTATATTGTAATTGAAGTATCAGGCAAATTATCACCTCTGCAGTTAAATCCTGAATGGTTTATGAACTCAAATAAAACTCCTGCAGATGATCAATCATTTCTAATCATTGAGGTGCAATGTACGACATTATGTCTTTCACAGGCTGGCTACTGTAAATGAGCATTTGACTTATGTCTTACTGTGTTATTTAATTTAAGCATCTTAAAACCTAGCTCTGTTTGGAGTGTCTGTGAATATAGTACTATTTTTATCTTGTACAGGATGATTGGAGGATGTGGTGCTGATTTGGCATCAAAAAATAAAAGAGTACGTAATTTTTTTAACATGCTTCTGTATTTTTCCTTTTTTTCCCTCTTTTTGGTCGCACAGAATTTGAAAAAAAATATGTGGAAGGAAAGGTTGAAAGTAATGGTCATCTCAGCAGAATTGCTTTCTTCTTGGCGAAACCAGCTGGAGGGGCACTTCCTCTTTCCCCATTGGATATTGGCACATGGTCAAGCCGCGTAATCTGAACACAATCATTTAAACCTCGACCCATGCTGTCATCTTATCTGACATGACCTACTGGTGTTTTACCTGAGGTATTATGCTGATGATGTAGCTTCGGTACGATGGAATCTCATCGATTGGGTTGCCACGAAGCGTGAGATTCCTCAATTTGCTGAAGTGGCGCAGCTTGGCGACCGAGTTGAGTTTAGTCAGACGATTGGCGTGCAGGTACAATATCCGTAGTTGTGGAAACTGGGATATTTCCTGCCAACAAATAAGCAGCTCTTTGGCACTACCGCGCGGGACTGGCGCCAGGTCCGCCGGTCCGGTCCGAGGACTCCCAACTCAACTCACGTCCGAAATGTCAGTCAGGTGGTTGAAGGACAGGTCGAGCCAGGCCAGCGCCTCGGGCTGCTCGATGAGGTTCCTCGTCAGGGACGACAGCCCCCGGATGTCGGGCAGGAGGTTGTTGTTGAGCCACAGCGACGCGGTCACAAACTTCTTGTTTTGGAGCTGCGTCGGCGCGCGGCCCGTCCTGGCAGCCCGCGGTGTCTCGTTGTCTTGAATGTCTGGGGCAGAGCGATAACAGAACAGCGGGAGTAGAAATGGCAAACCTTGCCCGCACCCCTCCATGCGGCCTTTCTGTGCACAGTCTTCGCGCCGGCGATGCAGGCAACCCAACGAGCCAGCCTGCCACACAGCCAAACACGTTGGGTGGCCTACATCGCAGGCGCGAGCGCTCTGTGCGCCACAACAACTGCGGCATTTCGGCTGTGGCCTCGGCCTGCGTGGTGCGCGTCGCACATACCAGCGATGCTGCTGAAGTATCTGAAGGAGAAGTCGATGGGCGGCCCCATGGTGCCCTCGCTGAGCTCGTCGCGTCGCGAGAGGTTCCGCCGGTTGGTCTTGGTGCTGGGCAGCGGGCCGCACCTCGGGGCGCACGACACCGCCAGGGCCATCCTGGTGCTGCGCAAGGACAAGGATGGTGGGCCCACTGTGGGTGGAGCGGCCGGGGCCGCGAACCCGCGCCGCGCTCCGCGACGGCCTGCAGCGACGGCGGCCCCGCGCCCGACACCTGACGCACTGCGGACTGCGGCGTGGCCCACCTCACCGCGGCATTCCCTCCCAGGGGCTGTTTCCGAGAGGGAGGTCCCATCGGCGTGTCTCTCTCGCACCCACACGGGACGCCCTGCGAGTGCGAGTGAGAGAGACCGCCCGCTTGGAATCAGCCTGCTGTGAATGGAAGTCACGACTTCCGCCCATAGACTAGACTAGACTCGGCCGGCCGTCTAGGCGGACTGGCAGGGCAGAGCAGGGCGGCAGGGCTGCCGCACCGCGCCCACCGCACGCCACTGCACCAGTTTCCATTCCGACCAAAGTCACGAGTGTCTGATTTTGTTTAATTCCATGGCGCCAGATTGGGCTTGGCGTGGGCGGGGGTGGGGGAGGGGGTGGGTCGTGTGCGCGGGGTGCTGACTCACTTGGTCTGCTTTGTCGTCGCGATGCGGGTCGGGGCGGGGCGAAAGGGACCTCGCGGGGGGCCTCGCCGAGTTATGAACTGCAGAAGTGCGTGATGGTGTTCCCACCGAGGAGGAAGGGAAGAACGCACAACCCGCGCGTTCCAGGGCGGGAAGGAAGTGCGACGCGGGTTTTCTCGGAATCGGTTTGCCCGACCGCCGCGCCGACCGCGCGCAGTGGCAGCGGCAGCGATGAGGGCTCCAAGAACTTTGATTCGACTCGACGCAATAATGCCGCGCAGGATTGGCGTTGGCGCTGCGCGGCGCTACGCGCGCCGACATTCCTCGTCCCGGCCGACGCCATGCAGCCATGCAGCCTGGCCTTCCCTATCCCCGACAGGTATTTTCGTAGCCATCCCATATCCACGGGCCATCGGGCCACGCAGCCACTAACGGCCAGGTCGGGGGTGGGGGCGGGGGCGGAATGATTCCCCGTCACGCGATGCCAGAGAAATTAAACCCATTCATGTCTTGATTCGCGGGAACGGAGAGGAAAAGGGGTGAGGCGGGCAGGAGAGGCGCGGTGGGGTGGGGTGGCCAGCGAAGGGGAACGTCAGATACAGGGAGAAATAATTTACTGCCGTCGAGCGTATCGGGCTTGACTGGTTCTTCCTTTCGCGGGAAATAGCGCGGGAGGAGGGCACAGTAATTTTTGTTGCTAACAGAAAAGGAGACGGCAAAATTACAAGCACTATCCACTTACTTTTTTTTTACTTTCTGGAAGGAGAACTTCTTCTCCTTTTATTCTATTTTTTTCCTATTTTGACTGCAGGCGTAGAACCTTGTCAGTGGGAATGTTCACTTTTAAATTTAGAATGGTGCTGTGAAAGCTGTTGCCTGTCAACAAGACTTGGACCACAAGAGCATTGTTGGGACGCTTGGCGTGGTGGCGCGGCCAGGCGCGGCTTGGCGGCGTGGCACTAGGCGGCTAGGCAGTGGGCAGACCTTCCAAAAGACATCATACTGCTGACCTTTGAGGCTCAAACCGTAAGTGAAATCAAATTTGGGCCATATAAGATCAGTTCATAAGTGTTTTATTTGAATCTGGAAGAGATGATTTACATATCAGTCATAATTGTTAACTAGGTATTTTTCAGGGATTAAGCGTCATGTGCAATAAATATACAGATAAAACATCAAGTAAAATTTGACGAAAAATGTGATACCGAACACAGTTTAAAATGTCCAAAATTAAGGATACACTGCAATAAGTCCATTAAATATGCAGAAATTCTGATGGTCATCAACCCTGTACACCACATAAATTACTTTAATACTGAATGCCAAAGGTGACAAAAAGTGAAAACTGAATCACAAAATTAAAATGAGATTTTAGACAAAATGAAAAACTTAACTTAAAAGATCACAGGAATTCTTACTAACAGTGAGCATCAGAATAAAATAAAAGATAAGACAAATAATCATAGTTAAAGATCATGATAAGGCAGAATTTGGAATATTCATGCCTATGATAGACATGAATCTAATTTGTTAAATTCATCGTAACAAGTTTGTACAGTGTCTTATTATACAAAACAAAATCAAAACAACAGTGTCTTACACCTTGTCTTCTCATATTTAAAATCATTTAACATTATAATCTTCCTGTACACTATCAGTCATTTACAAATATAACACTACAGAACATTTATAGAGTTCCAACATAGGCTCTACAATTCTAGTATCTACAGGGATCACAGGATTACTTTTGATAACTGCTGTTTTCTTCTCAATCAGTCTTGCTTTGGCTGCAGTGAGGCCACAAACTTGTGCCCAGTCCTGACCTCATCAAGGTGGCACTAAGTGTCATGAAAAAGCACACACACATTCTCGCACACATGCTCACACACAATGTTCTTAAAGTATCTTAACAATAATTACAGTTCTTTAAAATGATGTATCAAACACATTCAAAGACACACTTAAAAACAAAATTCATTTGAATGATTCAACAGTGTGTGTGAAACTTAACTGCACTTTGATTTAGAAATAACTTGATTTCATGAATAACAGGAAGTTTGGCAGTTACAACAGAAAGCACAGCCCAGTAAAAGTACACTTGTCCCAATTTTCATGAAAAATGTGCCTTCTGCCTTGTCTCTGAATAGCAGCACACAATCCTCTTCTATCAAGGAACCAGTTCGTTGCTAGCCATCAAGGGACTTCCCTGCAAAAAGTAAGGGAATGTAGAATCATGTTATACAGCAACTGTCGATTGAAGGGGTTGGTATTTCATTTCAAGGGACTTTGGAATGACGTACCTTCAACGTCACACGTAATTCTCGCCGGCCCTGGCGGGGATGCGTTCCGAGCGCTCCATGCGCTCCCGCTCCCGTTCCCGGTCCGCGCGGTCTAGGTCGTTCTCCTCCTCGGAGGCTGCTGACGTTGACCTGAGGGAGCTGCGCACTTTGAGCAGCGCTCCGCTGCCAGCCGCCGCTGTCCGCTGTGCCATGGAACAATTGTTGTTCGTGTGGCTTGACAGGAATGTCATCTCCATTGTTGTGTGCTTCTGTAACAAAATAATTGTAAAGCGATTAAAACCAAGCATGTTACCTCAAGTTTTGATTTTATTAGTTTTATTAGGGCGAGAAAAGGTACAAATTAATTTGCTTTAACTTTTACTTTTCACATTAATTTTTATAAATTTAACAATTATTAGACAAGATTTTAAAAAAATTATAAGTTTTTGGACAAACAAGCTGTTATGTGGGAATGGTTAAAGAACAAACCTTATCATCCAATGGATTTCCAGTGATGGTGATGGTGTTAGCATGCATGAGCAGTCCATTAGGTTGAAGGTGACCATTACCCAAACTGCTGTGGTTGGTGCCCAAGGTGCCCAAGTTGCCAAGTGTGCCAGCAGTCCTCCCATTCAGGGCAAACCCATTCATTACCGGTTCCAGAGGCTTATCTCGTTCAATGGTGTCTGCATCAATGTGTTCCATATTAGTAAATAGCAACAAACAAAGCAAACCCAAGACAAGATATCGAGCACAAGCTTGTGAAAAAATTAAAGTGCATCCCCTTGAACAATAAATTATATGTTAACATGAGCACACAAAATAAATCAAAGTTGCCACACTCAGTTAGTGATTATCATCAAATTCAAGTTTTGGCCAAATACAACAGAAATTCTCAGCTTTTTGGTATATTTACATCTTTGTTTCTTACCATGAGGATCGTGTGATGCATTGTGAGATCCTTCTTGAGATTGTTGGCTGTGTCGGTTGCAGAGAAAAACTAATAAGCACAGGCCTAGGAGTAATCCAAGGCCTCCGAGTACTGCTCCTAACACCACATAAAGCATACTACTGGAAGACCCTGTGTCTGTTATAACACTAGAGCCAGCTTGTATAACCATGGGAGGTGGAGTTGTCATCTCACCTGCAAAAAATGACAATAAGATAAAAGGTCAAAATGTAAAAATACGTTTTATGGTTTACTTAGAAATGTAGCCAACTGATGACTTACGCTGAGTTTTATGAGTGCGTATAACACTGAAATCTGATGCAGCTCCAACAGTAAAACTCTGAAGCTTTATATCATAAATAGTATCAGGCAGCAAATGTGTGATAATATAGGCACGAGTCTGTTCACCCTCAACAGTGGCTTTAACATATTCACCAGCATTACTTGTAGCTCTATAGTACACATAAAAGCCTTCAATCGGGGAGGATGCAGAAGGTGTGTACTGGAAAATTAAAATATTGACCATAAATTTCCAATTTTAGAGCAAAGGAATTCAAAATAGAATACGGTACATGAATAAAATTAACATACCTGCCAGTGTATTTCAATAGCTGAAGGACTCACAGCCTCTGTTGTAGTCAATAAAGGAGTACTAAGATGTGTTTTGAGTGCTGGTGAGCCACGATGAAGATGGAATCTTGCAGAATTGGGGCCCAATTTATTGTCATTATTCGAGTACACAGCAGCAATGCGGAACCTGTAGGTATGATCTGGTTCCAGATTTGACACCTCGTAACTCCTGATATGTGGTGCTATATCTTCATTGCTGGTCATCCAGCGGTTGCCACGACCTCTACGCCCACCTGTTGAATTTTGGTAAAGAAATGTAAATTTTTTGTTGTCCAATGATGACCATAACTGGGGTACACACATTACTTTGACTTACCACCCCTTGTGTGACCATTGCCCAACTCTCTGTATTGTACTTTGAAAAACTGGATAGGTAATCCAACATTATCCGGAACACTCCACCGCACCATGACTGATTCATCAGACAAGCGAGTTATATGAGGTTTTGTAGGAGGTATCATAACAGCTGTGAATAAAAATAAATACAGTTAAAAAGCTAGTAACATTTTTATTAAAGTAAGGGAAAAAAATACCCACCATTTCCTTTGTGCTTCTTATCTTTTCGTCTACCTTTACCACCCCTCCTATGCTCTTTCTTCTCGAGTTGGTGGTGACCATAGGAGGGTGAAGATGTAAGTCCAATATTACCAGGACCTGTACAAAATGAAGAGGGAAAATGTGAAATCTTTCTTGACAGTTATTGGCAACTTGAACAGAGCCGATATAAATTTTGAAATACACTACCGCCAATTTCAGAGTCATCAACATCGGGCATGTTGTCACCAGTCATGTGAGCAGTGACCTGCATGGGTTTCACTTGCAGCATTGTGGAGCCATAGGTAGTTCCTTGTGCATTGGAGGCCATACACTGGTAGAAGCCAGCATGGCGCTTTTCTAATCTATTGATGCGCAGAGTGCCTCCTAAATAAACAAAAACAATAAAAAATATAATCAAATCTTGATTTAAAATTTAAAAAAGGATTATCAGAAAATGACTTTACCATTAGCTTTGATAAGAGAGTCGTTATTCACTGATTCACCATTCAGGAGCCAAGTGATGACTGGACTTGGTTCCCCTCGAAATTGACAATCCAACTGACATGATCCACCTTCTTCTCCTACAGTTTTGGGGGGCTCAGACACAAGGGTTGGAGGTTCTGAAGTGTAAAAAATTGAGTTGAGAAGAGACAAGCTACATGGTAAAGACAAGCATTTCATATTTGTTTTCAGAGGGAATGTAAATTACCTTGAACAAACAAAGATATAACATGAGGTACTGCTCTACCAATGCCATTGGATAGTTCACAAACATACGTTCCTCTATCTGAGGCAGCTACGTTTGGAATTCGCAATCCTCCAGGTATCTCTTCAGATTGACTTGGAAGGGGGCCGTTCTTTCTACGCCATGATACAGAGGGAGTAGGATAACCCGATCCTGCACACTCTAGAGTAACATTGCTTCCTGCAACATAAAACAATGTCAAATAATTTGCCAAAAAAGAAAAGAGCATTCAAAAAGAAAAAAAAATACAATTATTGGACATAATTTACCAGTGGCAATTGTATAATTATCTTCTGGACGGTAAGGAAACCGAGGCTGTTGAGGTTCAGTGTTCCATGATACTCTGAGGGATATCTTCTGGTGAGAGGTGATGGTGTTGCCAGTAATGTAATTACTTGCAGAGCAAGTGTAGGTACCTTCATCTTTATCAGAAACATTTGGAAGCACTAGGGTTCCGGTGGAAGATATAACTTGAACTGATTCTGTTTGGAAAAAAAAAAGACAAACACACAAAAAATTAAAAGGGTAAGGAGAAGTCCAAACGTTTAGTGCAATAATATAAAACATAAGACATACCAGGGAGATTTCTGCCATCCTTAAAGTACTGCAAAACTGCAGGAGGGTTGCTACTTGGTGATTGGCAATGTATTAAAATAGTATTCCCTTTTCTTACTTCTATGACTGTATCATCTGTGTTTGGAAAGTCTCCCATCTCAGCAAGGCTCAGGTGGGCAGGTATAGAGGCAAGGGCAGAAGCTCCATACCAGGCAACACACTGGAAATGAATTGACATATTTTTAAAACTCTCCCATAGCTGATAGGATTACAATAAATTTCAGTCAGTAGGTAAGTGCTATCGTACCTGGTAATCACCAGTTTGTCGCTCATCATTAACAAGTACATTCAACTGATTGCTGTTTTGAAGAGGCTTGCCTTTATGAGCGGTACTATTTAGATAGCGTCCATTATGACGCCATCTGACTTGCTCAGCGGGAATATTAAGAGAACATTCAAACGTAACATCATCACCTGGTGGAGCTGCAATAGGCTCTGGGGCACGGACAAACCGAAGTCCAACATCTACAAAGACCAGAGAAAATTGTTGTCAGACATTTGTGGAAGGTCTTAAAAACATGCGCTTATATGAAAGACACAATTAAAAATTTAAGACTTACCGGCAAATGTTTTTTGAATGAATAGAAAGATTATGATGAATCTGACTGTTGAAGCAAGAGCGCTCATTGGGCTCTCCATGATGCTGCCACTCTACATACATCCCTAAAAAGAAAATTGAAAGAAGGTCATTAATAACTTGGTAGAAACCAGATGATGTCAAGTGAATGCAGGAACACTGAGGGAGGAAACAAGAAACAAGTAGTACATTCCCATTCATGAGAACAAGATCCCAAAGCCTATCGTGTCACACAAACCAGACCAATTGTCAAAATTGATTGAAAATTACCATTCCACAAACTTCTTAAAAGGTCAAATAAGTTCTTAATAGCTTGCAGCAATGGTGCAAAATGTTGAGACCAGCCTACGTTAGTCATTTTCTTTTTGTCTTAGTTAATCTTCTGTGGGTGTACACAAAACTACCCCTCCAAGATAAGAGATCTATTTGATGAGAGAAACAATTTCTCATCCCATGACTCAACCCAAGACCTCACAATGTAACAAGGGAACATAATCTTGACTCAGGCAAGACTCAATCAGAGAATCTGATCACAAGTCCATCATTAAAACTCATAATCATATGACTCATCAAGACTGATACCGGTGAAGTTTTTGTCTCTAAAATTATTCCAAAATGTTTTTAAATGAAACACAAAATGAAACCAATGAAGGTTTGTAGAAATGTTTAACCTTGTATGTCTAAAACTAAAATGCAAAATAAAAAAAATTAAAGTGAAATCTCTTTTCACTGTTTATTGGTAAGCTAAGCAAGCAGCACCACATGCCGTTAGGTTAGGGTGAAATACTTCAGTTATTTAATTCTGAATTCTTGTAACTCTCGATTATGAAGTAAAATAGTTGCCTTAAGAAATGTAATAGCTTTCTGTAAAACACTGAGACACGCAGACTCAATCAATCGGCAATCCTTAACCTGTTGCTTACTTCTTTTATTCATTAGGACGGAAGTAATTAAAAACTAACTTAATCTGTGAAAACCACGTAATCCATCCAACCGCTGCCTTAAAGTTTACTTTAAGCGCTATCTGCAGGTGAAAGATACAGGTGAGCGAACCATGTTTTTTTTTTTTTACAGTGTACCGACGTACTGTACTTTACTTGTAGAGTGGATGGGGATGGGGCGATTTGCACGCAGGTGGTGGCGCGGGGGACGGGGGCGGGAGGGGAGGGGAGGACAAGGGACAGCTAAGTAGACGGACAGACAATGGAGGGGTGGGGGCGGGGCGAAGACGACGGTCCACTCAGCCGCGCCAAATCCGACGGATTGAGGACAACAAGGAGACAGGACAGGACAGGACGCGTTCGGTTCGCGGTGGACACACTAGTGTGGACACGGTGGACCGACGGGTCGATGCAGCGCGAAGCACGCGAAGCAAACAGCCGAGCAGAGTGCCCGCAGTGCACACAGTGACACACAGGACACTGCTCGCGAAAACCGGCAAAACGGCCAGATGCTGGACCCAGAGCCCTGACATGGACATGTCCGACACCTGCGCGCCGCGGCACTGCAGTCAGCCGGCCGGCAAGCACGGCAAGCACAGCAAGCACCACCTGCAGGTGCAGGGCAGGCTTGGCAGGCCGCAGCGCAGCGGGTTGCATCTCGCATTTCGCCGCAAAGCGCAGTGCGGGGCGCGCACGGCCACGGCGCAGCGGCGCAGCCTTGCGCAGCAGGCGGCCCGGCGGCATTCTGGTTCCTGGCGTTCCTGGACCTGGCCGCGTCCGAACGAGAGCAAGGTGCTCGTAAAACTGTAGCTTCTCTCATGGCGCCAAGAACGGTGTAGAGGGAGTCTGCCCACTGCGCCGCCTAGAGCGCCGTCTAATGCAGCAGCACCACCTGCTCGTGCACTTGACCGCGGCGCCGTTCAGGCGTACCCAGTCTTCCTGCCCCCTCCCCTGCCCGCACCACCTGGCGCCCCTCGCCTCACCTGTTCACAGACCTCTCAGACGCCCCCGCACGCGTCCAAGCACCCTGAGCGCATTGGGTCCTGGCGCCGTACCGCTGCTCACCTTTCAAAAGAGCGCCATGCCACATTTTACTCCAGGGAGGGTCGCCTCGAAGGACCCGTAGGACCCGCGGCACGGGGCAGCCCGTTCACCTGACGAACCATCGGGCGGGATGCAGCCGCGGCAGCTGCAGCGGCGATGTAGATGTACGATCCAAAGGGCACGAAGGAAGCGGAGCGCAGCGAGGCGACGGTTCGATTCCCGTCACCGCGGAATCGCCCCAGACACGGCACTTCACCACTCTCACACGCTGCACACACACACACGACACTGGTTTCGTTGCACTGATGCACTTCGCGTTCGCTGGCCTCGGCTTCGCGTCCGTGAACACCCGTCGCCTGCAGCACGGCCCGTACGCCCGTACCTGCGTCTGGCGTCGCCTACGAACAACTGAAGCGGCCGCGCCGGGCCGGGCCGGGCCGGGGCCGGGCGGGCCGGCGGCCGACGCGCCGCGCCAGGACCCCAGGACGACGACGAGGGGCGGGGAGGAGCCGGGCAGGCCGGGCGGGACGCGGGACGAGGAGGGGGAGTGAGGCAGGGCAGGGCAGACTCATGTACCAAGCTAAAGAATGCGGCCGGGCTGGGCTCACTGCACACAGCACGAGGGGCTGGCGGGCTGGCGGGGCCGCGCTGGCTTCCTTGGGACAGCCTGGGTAGGCAGTAGGCAGCCTGCCTGGGCTGTCTCGGGGCTGCCTTGTGCTGCCTTGGGATGTCTGGCGTGGCGAGGAGAGCAGCGTCGACGCCAATTGGAATCGCCTCACATGTCCAGGAGGCCTGCCCGGCCTGCCAGCCCCCCGCGGACCCACGGACCGGTGGAGCTGCGTCCGAGGGCCCCGGAGGGCCCCGTCCGTGGGCCGACAGGGCGTGCACGGCGTCCAGCACGGCGTCCAGCACGGCGACGCGGGAAAGGTCTCGGACCTCGGGCGGGGCGTGGCACTGCCGTGGCACTGGCGTGGCGGCGAGCCCCGTTGCGGTGCCGCGGTGCAACTTGGCGACGCATCCTCATCCTGATGCAACGAGGCTTTGTGTGAGTGGAGGAGGAGGCGGCCCGGCGCGCGGCGAGGGCAGCGAGAGGGCAACGGCCAGGACGGCCGGCCAGGCCAGGAGGACGGCCACGCCGCGCCGCTGCGCCGTGCACCTAGGTGTTTTGCGTGCTGCGCAGTGCTGCGCTGCGTCATTCGATGGCTGCACGAGGAATCTTCACTCCATGGATCCAGAACAGCTCTATGGAACTGCCGGTCACGGGCCCAGGGAGGCTGGAGCTCACATCGATCCGTACCAGACCGCTTCAGATTGCAAAGCCGCAGAAGACGCCGCCTTGATTTTTCTATGCGTTTCACTCGGATTATTTCCAAAACGGCCTGCGGTCTTTCACTTTTTCCGACCCTCAAGAATGCCTTGCGCTTAGCCATAGCACCCCAGAGTCTCGTCTAAACAAACGCGCGGCCTTAATAATAGGCCGTAGGTCACTTGAGGATCAACATGTTTGTCACTCGCCGGTAATATTTTGGGTCCCTCGGCCAGGGCGCCAGGGCTGCCGGACTTGAATCACGTGACGTGCAGGTCGTGCTGGCTGGCGGCCAGCGTGCCGGCGTGCCGCGCCTGCCGCGCGCTACGCGCTGCGTGCACGGCCCGATGACTGTGACGGTGTGACACCGCACACTTGAAGACGCACACCTCCACTCCGCGCTCTATTCCGTTTTGTGGCTGCTGTGTGTTTACGCCTCCCCCGCCTCTGTCCCGGGGGAGGGGTGGGAAGGGGCCCCACGCTCCTTGGTTGACCTCTACGACCTGATGCGTCTGTTATTGTCGCGCGTGCCTCGCGGCGGCCATCGCCATCGCTACCCTCCCCCACGTCGTCGCGCTGTGAGATTCGAGTCTCTGTCTCTCTCGCACCTCTACGAAAAGCCCCACGAATGCGACAGAGCCACGAAAACACTGTTCGGAATCAGCCTGCAGGCCGCAACGGTGTTTTCTTTTCCGAAGCCCAGTGGCGTAGCGGCGCAGCTACCGCCCGAATCCGTAGGATCGTCTAGTCGCTCCGTCTCCGTCGCACTCATGGGGCGTAGAGAAGGGGTGCGAGAGAGACAGGTCCTTCGGGGACGCTGGCGGTCGTGTTTGCGTACGCGTGGATCGTCGATCGCGTGCTGAGGCGCGTCCACGCCACTGGCTTCCGGGGCGGTTGGCGCGGTCGGCGCGGGCGCGGCGCTGCGTGGGGTCCTCGGCGTCACGTCCCGGGGCGGGCGCGGGGCGGGCGTGAGGCCTGTGATGTGAGACAAGAAGACGACACGGAAGAGGAACAAGCGGCCCGCCCTCCAGCTTGAGTCTAAGCCTGCGGCCCTGCGGCCCGCCCTCAGCGGAGTGCCCCCCGCCACTCCAGCTCCGCAGCTCGTGTCACCGGGGTCTAATGGGACCGCGGCCGCTGCGGCTCATAGAGCGGGCGGAGCGGCGGATGGGGGAAGGGGGAAAGGGGGACGTCCCAGAACGGAAGGATGTTCCAAGCCGCGAGACGGGCCCGGGCCACCCATGTCGGGCCTCCAGCTGGTGCCCTTTCTCCGCGGCGTGGCGTGGCCGGGCCAGTCCCGGTGGGCTGGCCGGTGGGCTGGGCCCTCGGCTGGTGGCCTTCCCATCAGATCACGGCCGCGGCCACAAAGACGCCGGGCTAGACCAGCAGGTCGCTGTCTCTCTCGCGGCCTAACGGGACGCCGCGCGAGTGCGAGAGAAACAGAGCGACCAACTGTTCGGATTGAAAGGGCTGCTGGCTCTAGCCGTGCCCATGCGGGTACCTTGGCGGGCACTACATAGCTTTCACTGCCACCAAAATACAGCTTGAGCCGAACGCGGCCGCCCGGGGCAGCCACTGCAAGAAGCAAGCCTCGTGGGGCTGAGGCGGCGTGGCGGCGTGTGGACGGACGGTGATCAGTGATGCAGAATCAGGTGAAGCAGGCCGAGAGGCCCAAGGACCCAGACTCAGAAATGGCATGCACAGAGGATACGTATCACTTATGCGGTGGATGCGTTTCAACGCGCCTACTGAAACGAAACGCGTATCGCCTTACGTCGGCCGGACGCCGAGCTGCCGT